ACTGTGGGCACATCTGGGGAGCAGCTGCCGGGCCAGGGCCAGAGTGGGTCACGTGGCACAGGGCAGGCCCGCCCTGGAGCCTACAAGGCCAAGACTCCTAGGAGGGGCAGTGGAGAACACTCTGGACAAGAACGTGCGTCAACAAGGAGGAACTGTGTGATGTAGACATCCAGGCACATGGCTCCCTGCAGCGTACACAGCCCCTGCCTCAGGACCGAGCGCCCGGGTTCAGTGCCACCTCCCAGCTGTGAGATCCGAAACAAGTCACTCAACCTTTCTAGGCCTCATGGCCTCAGCTACGAAGGGGACATGATATTACCTGTTCCATAAGCTGTTTTTTTGTTTTTTTTTTTTTGAGACATAGTCTCACTCTGTTGCCCAGGCTGGAGTGCAGTGGCGCCATCTCAGCTCATTGCAACCTTTGCCTCCTAGGTTCAAGCAATTCTCCTCACTCAGCCTCCCTAGTAGCTGGGATTATGGCTCGCGCCACCACACCTGGCTAATTTTTTGTATTTTTAGTGAAGACAGGGTTTCACCATGTTGGCCAGGTTGGTCTCGAACTCCTGACCTCAGGTGAACTGCCCACCTCGGCCTCCCAAAGTGCTCCAAGGCTCCCAGTCTATTATTTTTTTTCTTTTTGAGATGGAGTTTCGCTCCTCTTGCCCAGGAGTGCCATGGCACAATTTCGGCTCACAGCAACCTCTGCCTCCCAGGTTCAGTCAAATCTCTTGCCTCAGCCTCTTGAGTTGCTGGGATTATAAGCATACACCACCATGCCGGGCTAATTTTGTATTTTTGCTAGAGACAGGGTTTCTCCACGTTGGTCAGGCTGGTCTCAAACTCCCGACCTCAGGCGATCCGCCCACCTTGGCCTCCCAATGTGCTGGGATTACAGGCGTGAGCCACCAAGCCTGGCCCAGGCTGTTTAGTTCTAATTCAACAAGTATTCATTGATCACTTCCCACATGCCAGGCACTGTACTAGGCTCTGGGTGACAGCAGGGAACAGGACCACCATGGTCCCTTTCCTTCTAAGCACACAATTGATACTTAAACCCGGGCCTGGATTGAGGAAGCTCTTAGTAAATGTGAGTCATTTGCCTAGAGTGCTGGAGGCCAGAGGAGGCACTCTGGAAGACAGAGACAGAGGTGTGGTGACAGGAAAATCATAAAGAAAAGACACTGTCTTTCATCACTAGGTGCCGCGGTTGGATCTGGGCATGACTCATTTCACTTTCACAACTACTCCAGGAATATGGATGAGTATTAGCTCCAATTTACAGATGAGGAAACTGAGGCCCAGTTTGTCAGTGGCCCAGCCAGGATTTCAGGCATTGAAGGGCTGGTGCCTTTTCCTCTCTAGGCCTCAATATTCCCATCTGTGAAATGGGGTGTTAAAATAATACAGCTGCACCAGCTCCAGGGAGCAGTTGTGAAATCAGATGTGCCAGGTATGTGAAAAGGGCTTCCTAAGGGACTACGACCATGAATGCTGGGTTGGGAATACAGGGGTTCATTTAAGGAGCCCTCCGAACTTCCTGGCCACCAGAAGAAGGGGCTTTCTTTCTTTCTTTCTTTTTTTTTTTTTTTTTTTGTGACGGCGTTCCGTTTTTGTTGCCCAGGCTAGAGTGCAATAGTGCAATCTCAGCTCACCACAAACTCCAGCTCCTGGGTTCAAGT